AATATTATTTAAAGAAATAGTTAATTCTAAAATAAGCCTAAAGTATAAAGATAATATATTTCGTTTAAGGATATTATAGTAAGCTATAATATTATTAAGCCTTTTAGCTTTAGTTATAATAGATATATATTTTAAATAAAGAACTTTATAGGGAGGTCCTTAGGTATTATTTAGGGGGATATTACTAAAAATAAGCTAATATAAGTAAGAGCTTTAGTAGAACGTTAAGAAAGTAATAGAAAAATAAGATAGAAATATATAAAAATAGGTATCTTAATAATAAAGTAGAGGGAGAGGGGCTAGTTAAAGTAAGTATATAAACCTTAACTTTCTAGAATATAAAAGGGGTTATTAAAGAAGTTAAACTCCTTAAGAATAAACTTTTTATAGTTAGAGAAGCTAGTAAACTTAGAATACTTAGAAAGTAAGGTATTACTAATAATAGTAGAGGGAGACTTTATCTCTATATTAAAGTCTAATAAGGTAAGCTATATTAGGTTAATTATAATAAAATAATAGGGAAAAGGTAGGTATTTTTATATAAGTAGCGCTATTATAGAGGTAGAGAGAGTAGATTAATTAGATCTAAATAAGTTAGTAATTAATAAAGATTAGAGGCTAATTAACTTATATAAATAATAAGCTAAGAATATACTAAAAATACTACTAAAATAATAAAAAGTTAGCTAAAATAATATTATAATTAATTAATTAACTTACTACTATATAGGTTAATAAGAGAAAGAAAAATAAGAAGTAAACTAAGTATAAAAAATCTTATTATTATATTATTTACTTATAGAGTATAAGGTAGTTAGTAGCTTAGATTAATATAATACTAGCCCTATTTATAGCTTATACTAACTACTTTTAGCTTATACTATAACTATACTTATATAAAAACTAGAGGGGGAGGTATATATTATAAGCTATACCTATTATTAATATCTAAGTAGTACTATAGACTTAGGAGAATTCTACTTTTAGCGACTACGTTCGCTTAACTACTGCTTTATACCTGTTTTTCCTCTATATAAGGGGCTTCTTAGAACCCTCCCCTCTTTAGCTTAGATTCCTATAATTAAGGCACCCCTAAGTTAAACAAACTAAGGGCCAGCCCCTCATAAATAATATATTAATATATCTAATTAAACTAATCTATAGCTTTATCTATAGCTTCTATAAGCTATATTTATATTAATTATTATTACTCTAAGGACTAAGGACTCTAAATATTATTAATAGTTAGCTAGTAAGGCTTATAATACTACTATTAATAATTTTAATAAGCTAAAGTAATATTTCTATCTCTCTATTACTTAGCTTATTAATAACTTTATTTAATAGTAGATTTTATATTAATAAACCTTCTTAACGCTTAATAAACTTACTTTTAATATCTTTACTATTTTAGTAATAATAACTAACTATAAGAGGGTATTTAGCTTTACTAAACTTTTATTAATATTATAGAAGCTATTAATAATACCTTTAATATTTAAGTAAACCTAATACTTTTAGAACTAAGTTTAAAGTAATACTATTACTATAAATAACTACTACTTTAAATAGAGGGGCTAAGAAAGGTTAAATAGCCTTAGATTATTATATAATATATATTTTAACCCTCTAAGAATATTATGAGAGGTATTACTAACTTCCTATTTAAGTAATTATATTTAAAACTAATTAAAACAGTTAATTTAAATAAGACTATCATAATCGTTAAGTTAATTAGTTAAATTTGACCCTAAGATTTAGCTTAATTAATTGGTTAGCAGCGCTGCTTCCTACTGGTTTGGCTTGAAACTTCCTTAACATTCATTAATTGCACGTAGATACACAAAGGTAAGGGGCATCTTCGCTGCCAAGTTCGCCAGTTTCTCTGTTCTCTGCGTCGTTAACACAGCATGAAACAGATAGTCCACAAGTTGTATGGGAATACTAGCGTTGACTCACAACCTGCCAGCCATTCCGCTGCAAAAATCGACGCTCTCGTAATTCACCTGTTCAGCCCAGGAATAATGTGGTAGTAGAGTTTGGCGGTGTGATCCGTCTCTAAGTGAAGCTAGTAAGATCATTCACCATGGGCTGAGAGAGGACATTGATTGTACGACGATGTCTTGGATTTATACGTCTTTGATTGTTCCCGCAGTCAGGGCTGAAAGCACGATTATCACGAAAGGGCCATTGCTATGGGGCGTCATGGATGTGTCTCTCAGCATTTTTGATGTACAATACCAATGTCACGACTTCGAGCCTCCAGTCCTATCTGCCCAGGGTTGAGCTCCTTCATTGCTCTATATAGGAAGAGAGCGCGAATCGCCAGGGGGCAGGCATCTCCCTCTTCACGCTGCCACAACCCATTACACCAAAATGCCGAAGCAATACTACATTCACTACCTCTGTGACCGCTACCTCAAGAGCGGTTAGGTGGCCATAGAGGTTTCTCTCCCAGGCCATCCTGGCCCTCGATTATTCCCCGTGAGAGTCATACGGCAGTCAACAAGGTGCGCCTCCAGGCGGCAAACTGCGGAAGAAAAGTTAGAAGGGAAGAAAGATTGCTCTATATAGCCATTTAGGGAAGGTGCAAGGGAACCTGTGGAGCTAATAAAGTTGATTGCGTTCCCGTTTTGAGGTGAATAAACGATTGCGGCTGATTTCGGGTCGGAATCGTGAATCAGTGGGGAGGTTCTAGGACGGTTTCCTGCCTGTGAGAATCAAATGACCCTTTTCAGTGGAACACTGTTCAGGGATGCATTCATAGCAAATCAACTTGGTAGCATACTGCAGCTCTTTGTATTCCCACGGTGAGTTCATAAACATTGGCATCCTTGGTTAAGCTAATATGCACAACTTTGAGCTCGATTTACAGTAAGCGGCTTGACAGCAAATAAAGCATGAATAAGCTCATCAAGAGTGTGTTTGTTTTGTCTATCATTTTTCAAAACTAATAGCTCGCTCGAATTTCATATCTACGGTTTGTAGATCATTTGGTTGGCTTTTCGTCGATGAGGTTAAGCCCCTGGCGCATCGGGCGTAGCCGTGCCGCAGGATGGATGGAGACTGAACTCTCACCTGGGGTGGACCATGTTATGGAGCAACCAGAATCACATCTTTCAGAAGCTAAGAAACGAGGCCCCATCAGAAACGCTCGGAAGCTGTGCCGGGCAGCCTCATCTCTTGCCTACTGTTGCCTGGGACGTAGAAGTACAAAAGTCCAAATGTTTGCTGCCGGATATCCGCTGCCTTACTTTTTAAGTACACGAGCCCCATTATTAACCTTAGATCTGCGGGTCAAAGGTTCCCTAAAGTGGCCACGATCGCGTGCCGAACCGGCCGATATCTTGGCCTGAATGCTTATTCAATGAACTACAACAGAGTGCCCTTAGCTCGGCAGGTCACCAGCCCCTCCATCAATTCCAAATTCCGGCAACCCTTCTGGCTGAACTCTTCACACTCAACCTTCTCCCAAACTAACCTTGTCATTGTCACATCACTTCATGAATCGGACGACTGCCATGGAAAACCAACGTGATGGTCCTTCAAGTGGTGGCAAGGTGGCCCACTCTAATCTTGCACCAGCCCTCCCGAAAAAGAGAGAGCAAGATTTTGCCATGATCTTTCTGCAAAGCCGATACACGTGAGTAATCTCTCTTTTTCGCTCAAATTCCCGCAATACTCAGGATGTATCCGAAATTGCGACGTCCTCTGCTTCGTTCTGACACTGGACAGCCCAATCATTCTCATGCTCGGAGCAATGTTCATTCAATCTCTATCTCGATACGTAGGGGTCGTCGACTGTGATTCTACTGCCCTGATCTTCTGGTATTCCGCCACTATAATTTACACTGCTGGCATGATATATAGAGGGGTTATCTATTGAAGGCTATCTTGGCGTATCTCCGTCATGTGAACTGCGTGGGATTTCTTACCAAGTCCGACCTCATTGAGACTTCTAGATGTAGAAAATATGGAGAATCATTCCCATCGTCACTAGAATTGATCAAGGCTTTTGTTCTTCAGCTGCTGAGCCGGGCAGGACATACCGTAGACCCTGAGGTACTCATTCAATGAAGGATCATGGATACCCTTCACGAGCTAGAGGTAGTGCCTATCTGCAAACTCCTGTTGAAACTCTTGGATGCGCTGTTAGAGGACACATTGGTATTTTGCCTTATTGGTGGTGTTAGCTTTTTTGAGTCGCCTGGAGATCGTAAAGAGGACATGGTCGTTATCGTCGGGTCTCTCTTGCGGCATTTTAGGAAGAGACAGAGGAAGGTGCGCGGTGGTAACCTAGTTGAAGGTGTTGTTTGCCGCTCCGTTGGGTTTTGATAAGCTGCATGAAATATTTGAAGCGTATGAGCTATTCACTATTCACAATGGCTTGCACGACAGAGACGTCTTGAGGTAGCATTGCTTCGCGTTAAGAAAGAGATAAGGAAACTTCTTTTGAGTACTTTCTGTTCTGAATAGTGTCTTCTAGCACTTTTCTCTCTGCTTCTGTAGATAATCGCATTCCCAGTATCCTTATGTGATGCTAGTCATACTTTCTAGTTGACTTCAGTCGCTTGGTTTGGCTGTGTTTAATTAAGGTAACGCTGGGCCCAAGACAAAGACATTGTTGGCGTTTGAAGAACGCAATTTCAACTGGCATGTGTTTTGGTAGAGATATGATTATCTAGGCGAAGTTTACCAATTTGGTACTCTTTGAGTCATGACTTCAATTATTCACTACCCTCTAAGAAGCCGAAGAAGCCTACTTAACGTGCTGTGGGGAATATGACAACATTGACATCTTCTTTCAAGCTACGACCACTAATTTTTTGTAACAAATCTGATCAAACTAGAAGTCTGATTACAAATCTTGATTCCGATGAGTTGATTAACAATCACGACGGATTGCTCGCATCTCTGGTTTAAGACAGCTTGGGCAACCGTGCCAATTGCGTTTGGGATTGTGTTTCATTAAACTTGATCTGTTTTCTTTGTCGACGAAAATGACAAACGTACTCATCACTGGCGGCTCAGGCTATCTTGGTGGATCGCTACTTGCATCATGGGCGGATGCAAACATTGAGGGTTATGACAAGCTGTACGCACTGGTGCGATCCGACTCGCAAGCTGCCGCAGTAAAGTCGCTCTACGGCGCTGAGCCTGTCAGATGTAGTCTTGAGGAAGGCGATATCAGGAGTCTGGTCGTGGACAACGGCATCGCCGTGGTATTTTACCTGATTGATGCCTACCGTGCCGAGCGACCCGTCAGCTTCATCAAGGCTCTTGCTGAAGTTAAGAAAGCAACTGGGCGAGAAGTACACTTTGTCTACGTAAGTAATTTACTTTGCTGGGTATCTGGAATCATTTTCTAACTGGTCTTCAGACGACAGGGACGAAGCAGTTTTCTGAGCATGCCGGTGCGCCGACAGACAAGCCACTTCTGGACACGGATCCCAATCTGTATGACATCCAGAGAGGCCAAAAGGCGCCAGTTGAGGAGATGGAGGTGGTATGTCGCTCCTAATCCAAGTGCTGAAACCCCCTGCTGAGAGTTCCAAAGGCTATAGCCACCAATTGCGCAGTAATTGATGACGGCGAGAAGTTCGACGTCAGGGTGTACCTCTTTTCACCCTGTATTGTGTGTAAGTAGTGGATATCCCAACATCAACTCCACCACTGACACCAACAGACGGTAAGGGACTGGGCTTTGGGAACCTAATTTCCATCCAAACGGTGGATGTGGTCACCGCAGCGAAAGGGGCAGGACGCGTGTACCGGATTGGGCCCGAAGGACAGGTGCGTCGCGGCCCCGAAGTCTTTCGTTCCACCGGCTAATTATTCGAGTAGACATGGCCGGTGTGCCACATATCCGACAACACGTCGCTCTACATCGCGCTGGCCAGAGCCATTTTGAGCGGCTCCAACCCCGATCATGGGAAGCTCGGTTACTACCTAGCTTCCTCAGGCTCAGCCAGCTGGGATGACATTTACGCGGCTGTGGCTAAAGCAATGGCGAAACGGGGTGTCATTGATGATGACACAGTCGCACCCGTCACAGATGAAGCGTTGATGAAGATGTCCGATGCGTTGAATGTAGAGCCGGCGTCGGCGGTGTCCAAAGTTGGTGGAAAGTAGGTCGCTCATTTCGCCTTCCACCATCACATGAACTGATAATCTCTACCAGATCGACGTATACTCCCGGGCATGGGAGAAAGCTGGGTTGGAGCCCGCGATTTCCACCAAGTCATATCGTTGACTCCTTGGACGATGAAGTTGAACTCATCTTGGAGAGTTGGACCACCAAGCACCAAGGTATTAGGTAGCACATGACTTTGTGGACTGTACTAGAGAGAGATCACGCCACAACGTATCATAAATTTGTTATTTGGGTATTCACTCAGGTTATCTTTCCCGGACTAGCTTGCCCATAAGAGATTTTACGCGACGGTTAGTTTCCCATAGGTGTCAATATTTTCAAATAGAATTAAAAGTCTGTGTGGTTCTCTGAAGAGGCCACACAGTCCAACGTGACCAAACTCCGCTCTCGCTAAATGTCCTTTTGGCGGTTCCGCTCGCATCAGCCCAATGGCCCACGGTGCAGTCTAGCTTCTTCAGGAGGTCTTCTTGAAGTCAAGAGTCTGGCCGCTTAGCATCTTCCTTACTCCCTCGTAATATTCCGGCGCCATATTCACCCAGTCCATGCAGTCCGAACCGCAGGGAATGGGCATGCCAGTGCCGTTGACAGCGCCTCCGAGCATGGTGGCCAAATTCATGCACACAGGGGGCACTCCTGTAGCTCGGATTCCATGGTCACCAACAGGACCTCTGATCGATATGTTTGCTTGTCGGGCTTGGTTGAAGCAATCATCCCAGTTGTACTGAGGCACTCCAGGAGGAGCCAGGCCGGGTTCCTCTAGCGACTGAGCTCGACGGGTTTTAATCTCGGCTGCAATTTCCCGCACCATTCTATGCGCATAGGTAACGGCGTACTGGTGACGTCTGTCTTTGCCTTTGTTTTTCTCATCTTCCTCCTTCTTCTTCCTCTTTTCGTCGTCCTTGATGCCGACGGCGATAATCGCGGTAGACGAGCCGGCAAGAACCCCGAACGTTGCGGCAGCGCCTATCCATGCTATTGCTGGTGGCGCGGGCACACCTTGAATGAATGCCAGGGCTGCGAATATTACCGTGAATGCTGCTGTGCTTCGCATCTTGATAACGAGTTGGAAGTGCTGGGTTATTTCGAACCGCCGATGGAACGTGTAGGATATAAGAGAAAGCGTGCGCGCCACTGGCTATCCCATGTTTGAGGACTAGAAAGTTTGAGGTCTTATACATATCTCACTTGGAATATTGAATACAGTGTCAAATTATTTATCGAAAGGAAGTTCATCCTGTGCCCCATTCAGTGGGAAGGCCGGTAGAAGTAAACCAGAATAATCCGTACCACAAGTGCGACTCATTTCTCTTTTGCTTTGTTTCAACCACCGGATGCGTCAAATTTCCATCGGAGGATAGTATCATAGATTCCATATCTGATATGATGGAAACTTTCTTTCACCCTTTGAAGAAACTCGACCTCAAGCTCTTCCTAATGTCGCATTCAGGAACGCCTGCCTATGACTGTTCATGTAGAGACACCGCGTAAACCCTCATCGATCTAGCTTAGGCAGTTGTCGTAAAAGAAGGCCACTGAAGCCGTCGATCTCATATTGAACACAGTGGTTGTGTTGCAAATGCCCGGATCTTTCCTTCTGAGCCCGGCCATGATCTCTCAGGCAATCGACGGTTGCATTACCGTGTATAGTGCAGTTTAGTGGCGACCAGACACTGTGCTTGCGCGGAATTTGCTGTGAGATTCCGCTCTAAGTGCCGGACATCCTAATTTCCGTCTTTCCGCGCCCCGCAAACCCCTCCTATCTTAGAGCCAGTCATGCAGGCTCACGAGATCAACTGCCAGGGATGAACGGTGCTGACATCCGAACTAATAATGCTAGTTCACGAGATCGTGATTGGAGAATGTGCAATCACAAGTTGAAGGTGCTGTAAGATTGTGTTCAATGCCTCTCAGTTGGCGAGATATCTCACAGACCTCAATTGCAGCATCTACCTCCTAATTGTACAAGCAGTGTACTGTTTCCCCCAGCGAAGACCCGTCTTAGAGGTGCCAGTTCTCACCGCTGAGCGCTGTAACCAACGTAGCACCCGGCTATCACTGAGCCGGACAATACGTCAGAGTGCCTTAGCGTCCCTGTCCAGCCTGAAAACTCTACCCCGGAGAGGATAACAGTGGATCTTGCGGGGTGCTCTATGCGGGGTGTGCGGCGGAGGATGCCATTGCCCAACATTCAAAACCGCGGTGTTTCATCAGTTCCGCTCATTCTTCCTCCCATCTGTGCCACCCAACATTTGTCGGACAACAACCCCTAGAAAGACCGCCTGCAGGACGTGGAGAAAGAAAAAAGCAAAAGGGATTACGAACTCTTTTCCTCATTTCATCTTTCCGCCATGGACCCGCCAACTTCCGAAGCAGCACCGGGTTCCGGGTCTCCAGCCACCGCAAATGGAAATGCCACTGCAGCCAAGCCGCGTGCGACCAGGGGGAAGTACATCTCCAAAGCATGGTAAGACCCCCCTTGACAGTGGTACCACATTACAGTGGCCCTTCTGGCACATTGTGGCTGACTGTTGTGGTGATGCTGCAGCTTTGAATGTAGAAAGAGAAAGAGCAAGTGTAATGGGAGAAGCCCCTGTCTACGCTGTGCACGTCAATCATTGACCTGTAAGACCATATTCTTATACTCTTCAAGATATGCTTTGATGAATGCTAATTGAACACCAAAGGTGCTTATCCCGCTTCCAAGAAGCAGAGGGAAATCCCAGCAAATGGGACGTGAGTTCAGCCCCATCCGGTCTGCTCGGATGATTCCTGTCTAACTCGAGGATTGCAGCGATGGTGATACTCAAGCCATTCGGTCTTTGAAGGAGCAAGTTGCCTCACTCCAGGGCGATCTTGAACTGCTCCGTCAACAGTCTCCCCACCGACGGTCAAGCTCACAGGCACACTCGTCGCCCCAGTTCGATGAGACTCTCAATGCCTCTCGTGCTCGCTTGATCTCACCGGACTACACAGACCCAGGCAGCAATCCAGCAAGACCAGATCAAGCCTTGCCCACGACGGAGCCCCCTGAAACCCAGGACAACTGCCAGCCGTCAGCAAGCTACACGTTCAACATCAGTCTGGCCCGGACACATCTTCGTGCGCAGGGCATCGCCATGACTGATAGTGATAAGCAGGGTGCCTCATCATCTGCAGATCGAACCCGACCGCCTTCCCCTTCCATCCACACACCCCTGGAATTCGGTGTCGGGTCCGTCGACCCTCTATGGCTGATTGATGAGAAAGAAGCCATCAGGCTCTGCAATCTCTACGAGGTCGAGATAGGCATCCAATACCCCTTCCTTGACATCACTCGAATCATTGAGAATGTGCGCGTCCTGTATAGGGCCATGGCCAGTGGTTCGCAGAACGGCTTCGCGTTTACTGCTATGCCGGGTCCCACCGTCATTGATCCGTTAGATCTGGATTTACTCAAGATGGTCATTTCAGCGGGATCAATCGTTGAAGCAGGTGGATCAAGCCAGCTTGGAAAAGCCCTCTTTACCGGAGTGAGGAAGTCATCACACGACAAGTTGTGGGAACCAGCGAGCGTCAAGAACACGATGCTTTTCGTACTACTGGTCAGTCAAGCATCATATGCAGAATCTTATACTTATGCTAACGCGTTTATAGGCTATTTACAGCTTTCTCACTGGAGATGACCTTCAGGCCTGGAGGCTAGTCGGCGTTTCCGCTCGCTGGTGTTTAGAGATCGGCCTTCACCAAGCAGGCACAGTGAACAGAATCTTCAAGGAGGTAGAGGCACGGAAGGTAGCACTGAGGCTCTTCTGGTGTGTCTATACACTAGACCGCCGATGGGGCTTTGGTGCAGGCCTGCCATTCGTCATGCATCATTGCGATGTCGATAGAAACCTGCCAGAGCCGGTAAGTTCCCCATAGAGACTGACACATGGAAAGATGAAAGCTGACTCTTCAAGGATGATGACGTTCCATACCTCAAAGCCATGGTGGCCTACAGCCAGATCGGCAACAAAGTCTGGTCCACATCATACAACTCTGCCCGGACAACAGGGGCAGTCAGGGACGACGAGATATCCTATCTGCTGTACCTGATTGGCCAGTGGTATGAGGAGCTCCCAGAGAGTCTGAAACTCAGCCCAGAATGGGAGTCAAATGACTGGACAGGGTCAACAAGAGGCCCCCAACGACTTCAGCTTTTGTTGCACCTCCGGGCGAACCAAATGAAGATCCTCCTCCTGCAGCCAATCTTGCACTCCCCGTCGAGCCTCAAGATCAACAGATCCAAAGTCCAATCGCTCATCAGATTCGCCAAGGACACCATCCAGAAGCTGAACTCGCTTAACAAGACGACAGACATTTATCAGACACAACAGATGTGCTTCAATCACTTCTTGGTGTCTGCTCTTGGTGTCATCTTCTTGGTCGTGGCACTCGCGCCTTCAGAGTACGGCGCCGCAGTCCGCGACGAGTTCCACATCGCGCTCGATCTAATTCGCGGTCTCAGCGCCAAGTCCTACGTATCAAGCAGACTTTGGAAGATGGTCAGCGACCTTCGACTTGCGTGGAGGAAATTGGGCTTGAATCCTCCCCAGACAAACGAGGACAGGGAGACGCGTGCCATTCGCAGCGCAGTTGCGACTCCGCCGCCCTCTTCAAGCGGCATTGATATTTCGCCGCAAAATACAACGCATCTCGGCGAGGAGGATCCAAGAGTGGGAGAGTCTGAGGTCTGGCACACTGGAGTAAAAGAGCCCATTAGTGATGTGCAGATGGCACAGGAGCTGAGCGACTTCTTCAACGCGATGGATAGTGCGCCAGACTTCACGAGCTCGTATCCATTACTTGGCATTTGCGGCGATGCGCTTGAGTCTGCAGACGGACATCATGATGACAGTTTGCCAGAGCACGCTCTGGACTCGTCAATGCTGGACGTTTCTCATCTGTTTGTAGATATGTTGTGAGACCAAATGAGGTTATGAGAATGTTCTACTTCATGTCATCTTTTGAACGCGTGAAATTTTACATTATGGTCTGTATAATAGAAATCATGTGCCGTGAAACATTAGCAATGCCGCAATTTCAACGATTTAAGCTTCACTGGTGACATGAAATGGCATTACTGGTAATACCTAGTGTTCGGCTCCTTACAACAGCTGCAGTTGCCGCAGTCGTCTAGCAACTAAG